GCATGGATGCTTGTGTGGTGCTTTATGATCTTGTCCCATACATGAGTTATACATGGTGAATCAAGAAGCAGATTTTTGAAGTTTTGGACTTGAAGATGGATCTAAGTTTAAGACAAGTATAGCATGGGATCTTCTTTATTGTCCTATACACCTTTAATCATGTAATTCATACTGCATGTGTCTACCTTGACTACCACTAAGGATTACCTAGTACTTTGTTACCTTGTACCTTGATGCCTTTGGGTTATTACATTGGGTAGCTTTACTAGTGCTCAACTATAACCATGATCTTGTAACTTAACTAATGGTATATGCAATAAACACTAAAAGATGCTTTTTAGCAACAAGGAAACAGGGGGCTGGAGTGTTTAGCTACTTTTTAAATGCTCTAGATTCCTCTCCCTAAGGACTTATCTGTAAGTGATCATCCACGATTTATAGTACAGCTGTGAGGGCTATATGGCTCTAGTTTTAGCTCAGTATGATGATCTTTTCTAGCTTGTTAGAGGTTACCTTTATTGACGTAAGAATGGCTTGCCGAATCGGGTATAGGACAGCATCTACTCTTATATGTATAGCTGTGATGGAATTGTGTCATTCAACCGGGGTTCCTATATCTGTTTGCCGAGTGAATCTAATGGCCCTAACTTGTTAGATTTAACCTTTAAAAGGCTTCACAGTGAACCCTGCCGACCTTCCTTGGTAGTGGGTCAAGAGGTGATCACCTTGGGCTTAAAGGGTAAATCACAACTCACAAAGTGAAAGTGTACAACCTCTGCAGAGTATAAAGCGGTATATCACCGTGCTCACGGTCACGAAGCGGCCTTGGAACCCTTACGGAATAGATGATGAACACTAATGATAAAGATGCTCACTAATGATTACTGTTTATGCTATTCATTATTCATGTTTACCCGATCATGTATTTATATGGGGCTTATGATAAATTTGTTGCTACTCAATTCTTTGAAATCATGACTCATTAAAAGCTAATCGATGTTGAAACAAAGGTCACCCTTTTGAGCCCTCATGAACCCCATGTTATATTTGTTGAATACGACATGTACTTACGCTTGCTTTATTTTTTTAATTATTTGGATAAAAATTCCGGATAGGTACTAGATTGCTAGAGTTTGGAGGAATTAGGCTTGTGATCAACCAGTCAATTGTCCCTGTGGAATTAGAGTCTTCACCAAGATCGGAGTTGTCTCTCTCCTGTTGCTTCTTTGTCTAAGGTTATATCCTTTATACTAAGTAACGTTATATATTGAGCATTATTTTTCGATATTATCCTTATTTGTAGCTATATGTGAGATTTGATTTTCGGGCTCATATATGGTGTGTATTTGATTTTGTTCTTAAAACCAGGTGCTATAAATTTTTTTTCTAAAAATTTAGAATAGTCCTTATATAATCTAGAACAGAAAGAACACTCCATCATGTGATGCTAACCAAATGAACTACGACAATGAATCGACATTCAACAGGTTTGACATGGCCCAAACCTGCAACTTGGTCTTAACCTTGTCCCCCTCACAGCTCACATCTGTCCCTCCCTCCTCGCGCTCTGTGGCCCAACCCAAGCTTCGTGGTTCCCGTGATCCATCTACCTTACCATGTCAAATCACAAATTTGAGTTCTTGGTTTGTTACTTGTTACTGTACTTTTTAGTTACCACTTACCACCACATGGCATGCCATCTGTCAGCCGTTATCCTTGTCAACCACCTTTTCCCTGCGTGTGCACCACATCGTTGCTATCCAAAGAGATTTGGTGAAAGCAAAAGAGGGATCTCAAGAAGGGTAACTATATATGGGGGTTGCTGCTTTTTTCCCAAAAGAAATTATGGCTATTACTATTAGCTATAGAGGAGTGATTATGATTTGCAGCCACCTTTTTTGGTCTGATATAGTAGAGAGGAAGCACCACAAGGCAGCTGATGTGGCTCTCTCACATCAGTGATGACAAATAAGCTACATAAGATGGACCCACAAGTGGGCCATGCAGGATGTCAGAACTCACCCTAATTGGATTACGATAGTGTTCTGTGATATCCAAATACCAACTAACAAACCTTGTGTATTGTGTTTAAGTGTTGAAGCCCACAAACATGCATAAAGGCTAAGACATTGTGTTCAAGTGTTAAAAGACAACGAACATGAATGCTCTCTGCAGTTTTTCTCTTGACGTACTTCAAGATTACATAAGTTCAGTATCACCATGATCATGCAACAAGTCTTCTTTTATCTACCGGCAAACATGCCCGTGTGTTGTACGTTAATCGAAAATGACGACATGAATAGTATATATCTATTTATGTTTTATCCCTTCTATATATAAATTTTAAAAATGACTATGACATGCATAATATAAATTAATATTGGCAATATATGACCAGGGGCGAAGCCAACTCTAAATTCATGGTGGTGTACTACTAACGAGACGTACATTAATCTGGTAGCAATACATTGTGAAAATTTATGTAGTTAGTGGTAATTTTTTTTACCCTGGTGCATGGGCACTAGGCAAGATCAGCATTGCTTCGCCCCCAGTATATGACAATGTCCCATTAAGCCTGTGGATTAAATTATAACATTGATATTTTTTCCCTCGTTGCAAAGCTTAGAAATATTTACACGTAAATATATCATATTTTTTCATATTGTTTATGTGTTGCTATAGCTAACATCGAGATCCATTACTTCCTTTGAGGACCCATAAAAATCTCTAATTCTAAACTTTTGTTAAAATTGGTAAGGAGTTAGTTGCCAATGTGGCAATGACTCCTCTGTCCGCTGATGATTATTATGACGGATACCTCTCTATTTTTTTACATGGTTGCCTTCGTCTGGGATTATAGAGATATTTATTTAGATTGGATAACAAACTGTTCAGTTCACGATTCTGATTAGCTGATCTAGGTTTTAAGTAATAAGAATGTGTTTTGTTTTTAATCAGAACTACATCAATAACTTGGTGGTAGAAGTCTTTGTTTCTCAGGAAAGAATCAATGGTTCAAACTAGATCAAATATGGATGCAAAAAATCCAGATCAAATCATCGCTATGAGAAAAGATTTTCTTGTTTCTCTTTCTCCTTGAACTGGTATGATTTGAGTTTAGAATTTGCTAGGAGATAGTTTTTCATGATTATTTTCATGAATTGAAAAGGCTGGCAAACAACCTCAATTACGAATAGAAATGATTTGAATAGTGTGGGGGTGGTAAATCAGGTCCATGTTTTGTTTGTGGGCCAAGTGAATTTCTTCTCTTCTCTACAATTAAAAAGCGTCTAATGACATTATATACCTGCAATACCAAAACACTCTCTTGTGATACCTATCCCCCGTTCGGCGATTTTTTCGCCGGCACGTGGCCCTCCTGGCTCTAACACATAGATCTCACACCTCAACCCTCGCGCATACTCCATGCCCCACACCTACGCTAGCGCCATGCCGCCATCCCATGATAATGTCCGCCACCAACGCCTCTACTGTATCACCGAGAATGGGTATATGGATTGCCTACTCAGTACTCACACCCTCCATTTTGAGAGCGTTGCAATGAGCAATGGAAACAACACAGTAAGTTCGGTGACCACAGAGGATAGGTTAGGAATGTAAAAGTATGATGTACTAATACTATTCTGGAGCTTGTAAATGTACAAAATCGTGATATTCTTTTGGTCCGCGAGATATATTTAGAGTTCAGTGCTTAGGAAGGTGTAGGTGGCTAAGGCAGCTTACTTCTCGGTTGACTAAGAGTCTGTTTAAATCCATTAGTATTAAAAATTAGTTAGCTAATAGCTAGCTAATTTTTAGAAGTGAGGTGTTTAGATCTAGCCCATAATAGGTGGTTAGATACTTAGTTGAAAGTACATATAAACTATTAGCAATTCCAAACAACAACAACAACACAACAACAATGATAACAAAGCTTGTCAGTTCCAAATAAATTGGGGTAGGCTAAAACTAATAGTTAGCAACATTCAGCTAATAAAACTAATATTAGCAACATTCGGCTAATAATTAGTATGCTTACTAACAGGTTTGTTTAGATCCATTGGGATTAATTTTTAGTGCTAATGGATATGGATTCATACAGGCCCTAACTTGCACCGATCCATCGCACACGATGCTGCCTTTGCTGCTCGATTGGTCATCTACACGGTAGAGAATTACGTCTCAATTTCAATAGTCTTGAGCATATCATGGACCATTTTGTTTAATGTATTCTCATATTTTTTTGTTGTTTTGATATATGTGGTATCATACTTTGTTGTACTGTTTTTTTAATGCTTTGCTTCCAATGCAACACACGAGCATAAACTTATTATATATTCATTATTTATGAAGACTTATGTAATATTGACTTGACTATAGCTTTACGGTAGTAATAAAATAATTATTCTTACTCTTCAAAAAAATATTCTTAAAGCATTCCGTTAAATAATACCATCCTCTGTTAAATTGGAACGGAGAGAGTATATTTTAGCACATATATATTCATCGGTCGAAAATGATGATCCGACGGCATACTAGCTAGCTTGTACAACTTGTGATGCAGTGGCGTGAATCTATCTCCTTGTTATTATTTGTACACTCGTCACTAGTAGGTAAGCACGATGGAATCAAAGTGGCGATTTTGACGGCGGTTGCATTTGTGCGGCCACGAGGTCTCGACGCCTCGTCGAACAGGAGCCGGCGACGTCGCCCGCTTCGTCCCCTCCACCGCGCCCACGCCACGAATCCATTCCATTCCCATTCCTCCCCACGCCGCGCGCCTCCATAATACCACACCGCCGCCACCCCCAATGCCGCTCGCCCACCGCCACAACCCGCCCGGCCCTCACTCTCACTCACGCGCCATTGGAATTGGCATTCGATTCCCTTCCCGGCGCAGTTCTCGCGCTCCTTTCCCCCCTCCCCGCCTTGTTGCCGCGCGCGTTAGAGCGCGAGAGAGGACCAGCTAACCTCCGGCGGCAAAGTCGGCGGCGAGGTTCATGAAGGTGCTGTGCAGCGCCTGCGAGGCGGCGGAGGCGAGCGTCCTCTGCTGCGCCGACGACGACGCACTCTGCGCGCGCTGCGACCGAGAGGTCCACGCCGCCAACCGATTGGCAAGCAAACACCAGCGCCTGCCCCTCCTCGCCCCCTGCGGCCAAAGTTCCGCCGCCGTGTCGCCGCCCAAGTGCGACATATGCCAGGTGCGGGCGTGCTCATTCTTGTTCGTCTTCTACTCGTACATAGCTTTGGACTTGGCTCCACTGACTGACTGGTCATCCTCGCCGCCACCGCGGTTCAGGAATGCGACGCCTACTTCTTCTGCCTGGAGGACCGCGCGCTGCTCTGCCGTAGCTGCGACGTCGCCGTGCACACCGCCAACGCCTTCGTCTCGGCGCACCGTCGCTTCCTGTTAACCGGCGTCCAGGTCGGCCAGGAACTCGAGCTGGACGAGCTCTCCCGGGAGCAGCCAGAGGCGTCGCCTCCCCCGCCGTCGAAGAGCGAGCCGGCGCCGCCGCCGCTCTACAGCGAGAGCGACTTCGGTTGGGCTGCCGGCGCCGGCGGCGCTACCGGGAGCCTCGCGGACTGGTCGGCCGTGGAGGAGGAGTTCGGCTCCCCTGCCCCGCGCCTCGCGGAGGCCGCTCCCAGGGCCACGCCGAAGCGGAGCCCGCGGGCGCCGGCGCCGGCTTTCGGTGCCGGACAGGGACGCGTCGCTGGCGGGGTCATGGATTGGCCCCTGGGCGAGTTCTTCCGCGGCGTTAGCGACTTCAACGGCGGCGGCTTCAGCTTCGGCGAGAGCGGCACCTCCAAGGTCAGCAGCGCAAAGCTCTGTTTTTGGATCGCCGATTGTAGTGATTATCTATGGATTATTAGTTGTCTTTGCTGCCATTAATCTGACATTCTGATGTGGCGTTTACTGTATGTCATCTCTGCAGGCGGACAGCGGGAAGCTCTGGGGCAGCGCGGGTGGCTCCCCGTACTACCGCTCGTCGTCGGAGGACCGGGACACCAACGAGCTGTTCGGCCAGGTGCCGGAGATCCAGTGGTCGGTGCCGGCGCTGCCCTCCCCGCCGACGGCCTCCGGCCTCTACTGGCAGCACGGCGGGCCCGACAGCACCGCCTTCGTGCCGGACATCTGCTCCCCGGACGGCGGCGCCGTCCGCTGCTTCCCGACCGCCGATGGCGCCGCGAAGCGCCAGAGGAACCGCTAGCTCCGCCGCGAGGACACAGGAGGCTCATACTGCCGGTCGCTATGTTCCAGATCGTTCTTGCAGGCAACACAGTACGTAGACCGCCGCTGCTGCATCCAGGGCAGAGTGGATAGTTTCACTGCCATTGCATTGATGTGATTCAATCAATCTAGCTCGGAACAGACCAGAGGAATGCGTTGCACGCATGCCCGGTTCGCTTCAGCTTATCAGCCGAATCAGTTATTGTATTTTTTTTTCATAATAAATTAGTTCTATAAATCAGCTATAGCAGTATTAACATGGCCAACAAAACTAAATGCATAGTTTGAAATTAATTTATAAGACGAATTTTTAAACCTAATTAGACTCTGATTTGTGATAACGTAGTGCTACAGTAAATATATGCTAAGAACAGATTAATCAGGCTTAATAAATTCGTCTCATGGATTATTGAGAACTTATGTAATTTGTTTTATTATTACTTTCTAAACATTTGATGTGACATTTTTATGTAACACACGATGTGACAACCTTAAACTTTAGTCTCTGAATTTAAACACACTGTCCGTGCGTGTGTTGGACTGTTGGCGGGGTGCATCGTCTAGACGATGCTAGAACTGCTGGTGTCAGGGGATGTTTGGATCCGGTGATTAAAATTTAGGAGGTGTCACGTGAGGGTGTCGCATGCGGTGTTTGGATACTAATAAAAAAATAAATTACAGAATCCGTCAGTACTCCACGAGACGAATTTATTAAGTCTAATTAACCCGTCATTAGCACATATTTATTGTAGCACTACATTGTTAAATCATAGACTAATTAGGCTTAAAAGATTCGTCTCGTAAATTAGTCGCAAGCTTTGCAATTAGTTTCGTAATTAATCTATATTTAATACTCCATGCATGTGTCCAAATATTTGATGGGACAGCGACTAAAGTTTAGAAGGAGAAATTAAACACCCCCTTAGCCCTACCTAGCCACCCTTTGACTTCCAATGGAGCTCTCAAAGACTGAAACTGATGCGCTAATCGATAGCTTAAAGGGGGTGTTCAGTTCCACGGACTAAATTTTAGTCCATGTCATATCGGATGTTCGAATGTTAATTAGGAGGACTAAACATGAGTTAATTATAAAATTAATTACACAGATAGAGACTAATTTACGAGACAAATTTATTAAGTCTAATTAATCCACCATTAGCATATATATTACTATAGCATCACATTATCAAATCATTGACTAATTAGGCTTAAAAGATTCGTCTCGCAAATTAGTCTTAATCTGTGCAGTTAGTTTCATAATTAGTCTATATTTAATACTCTATGCATGTGTCCAAACATCTGATGGGACAGGGACTAAAATTTAGTCCGTGGAATCAAACACCCCCAAACACTGGACAGTACGATGCTGATGCTTTCGTTTTCTTATCCGTTCAAACTCAAAAGCTTGGTCAGTGGCATGATAAGTCTCAATCAATGTAACATCGATGTTGACGATGCTACTATGTGTGGGAGTACGACCACGGATACCCACGACAGATTATATGGGCTGCGCCCTAGGGGCGGCCCAGCCCACAAGACGAAGCCTTGCGGGGCACGAGTCTGCTCGGCGTCTCCCACAAAACTCTAGGGAGATATCCTGAAGATACTACGAGATCTGTTAGGATACGTATGATCCCAAGATTCCTGTAATCTGTTATTACTTTTCGGTTATCTCTCAGATCTAACCCGATCGATGGATTCCCTCCGATCCAGATCTATGTGTGGGAGTACGACCACGGATACCCTCCGATCCAGATCTATCAGAGGCTGCTCGAGAAACTCCAGGGGTTATGACCCTACCCTTTGGGTTCACCAACGCCGTCGCTGCTTACCAAGATGCCCTAAGGGGCAGATTCGCCGACCAGGTTGGAGATGTCCATCCTCCCGCCGACCAGATCGCCGATCAGCCTCCACCGGCCGTCAACATGCTCCACGTCGGCCGACGCTCCGGAGCGTCCCTCCAGACCATCCCGGAGGAAAATCCAGACCCCGAGTCCCAGGGCTCTATGGAGATCGTCGCCGAAACGACCACCGAACTACTTCTTCCCCCTCCGTTCCATGGCGACGCAATCTTCAACGTCAGCGTCGACAGCCCCCCTCGGAACGGCGAAACCGAGGAGGAACACGCCGCTCGCGAGAACCGGAACGTCAACCGTGCGCAGCGCCGATCAAACGAGTTTGTCCTTACGAGGGCCGAGCAGCAGCTTGACTCGCAAGGAAGACCACTCCAACGCAACCTCGACGACGAGTTTGTCCGTGTTGACAGCCACGACGTCTACAAGAACCCAAGCGCCAACTTGGCTGTGGCTGCCAACGAGCTCGTCCGACTCCCGCAGACACCGGAGGTCACCAAGGTCGCCGCAATGCTTAAAGCGGTGCATTGCCAGGTCAATGAGATCCGCCACGATCAGAGACCTTCTTACTCCACAACCTCGATTTACCGATCAGTCGCCACAAGATCCGATCGCCGCCCAAGTCGTTTCACCGACCAGCACCGCGACGATAGGCAACCCCTCTAGGGCGGAGCTAGGGGCAACCGCATTGAACATCACCGCCAACCCAACCAGGAGGTCGACCAGGACGTCCGAGTGCACCTCAACAATCTCCGAGATGCACGACGACGTATCGACGAACGCCGCTTCGGTCGCCATGAAGAAGAAGTACACCGCCGCCAGGAGTACGAGCAAGAGTACGGTAACCCAGACTCAGCTCTCGAGCCGCTCGCCTATGGCAACGCTGCAGACGACGGTGCCAACAACCCCGAGGGGCCCCCAGCATTCACAAGGGCGCTCCGAACACTTCAGTGGCCCCATGGTTTCAAAATCACTTGGGTCGAGCCCTATGAAGGAGGGATGAACCCGACACAGTGGCTACAGGCTTACATCACTGCTGTCCGCGCCGCCGGAGGAGACACCAGTGTCATGGTGAACTATCTTCCCGTCATGCTCACGCCGGCCACCATGAGCTGGTTTACAAGCCTTGCCCTGGACTCCATCGGATCCTAGGAAGAGCTGAAAAAAGTCTTCACCGACAATTACATGGCTACGTGTACTCGACCGGGCACCAAGCATGATCTGAACCGCATCAACCAGAAGCCGTTCGAGCTCCTCTGTAGCTACATCCGACGCTTTTCCGAGATGAGGAATTCTATTCCCAATATCACGGAAGCTGAGGTCATCACCACCTTCATCCGAGGACTCCACCGCGAGCTTCGCTCCAAGTTCAACCGCAAGCCGCCCATAGGGATTGGCGAGATGATCATGACCGCCAACCAGTACGCTGATGCCGAGGAAGCCGAGGTGCGCTTCAACAAGGATGCGGACACTCATCGCCCAACACGCTGCTACGACGACCGACGCCACAATGACCGCCGCTACGATGACCGTAGTTACCATTGTGACAGCTACCGTGATCGGCCAGAAGGACCCAAGTCTGGCCAAAATCACCGCCGCCGGCCAGACCACATCGTCGCCGCCGTCAATGAACCTCACGCCAAGCGCAACTACGATGAGCAATACAAGAAGATCCTCGATGGCCCATGCCCTCTACACAAGAACGCCAAACATAAGATGAAGAACTGCCTCGGCTTGGCTAAGGAGTTCTAGGACAAAAAACTGGACGACGACACCAACGACGGAGCCGGAGGCCACCGACCACCTGGGAGCAATGACAATGCCTTCTAGGACCACGACAAGGTGGTCGCCACCATCTTTGGGGGCCTCGCCTCCACCGAGAGCAGAAGAGAACAGAAGCTCGCCGCTCGACGGGTGCTTGCCGTCACTATGGAAGACGCCGCCGTCAACCCCAACTATCGCCCATGGTCTGAGGTCCCAATCACCTTCAGCAGGGCCGACCAGTGGGTGGACATCCCCTAAACAGGGCGTTTCCCCCTCGTCCTCGACGCAACCATCTAGAAAGTGTTTTTTTAGAAAAGTGCTCGTCGATGGTGGGAGCGCTCTGAATCTCCTCTTCGCCAGAGCCCTAAAGGAGTTGGGCCTCGGGATAGCAGATCTCACACCCTCAGACTCCTCCTTCTGGGGTGTGGTACCTAGTAGGGCGTCCAAACCGCTTGGAGAGATCACCCTACGAGTATAGTTTGGCACGGCAAGCAACTACGGCGTCGAGCACATCAACTTCTATGTCGTCGACTTCAACACCACCTACCATACCATACTTGGTTGGCTAGCTCTGGCCAAGTTCATGGCTGTACCGCACTACGCTTATCTAGTGCTGAAGATGCCTTCGCCTGTAGGAGTCTTGGCCTTGCGGGCCAACCTCTCCATCGCCTACGCCTGTGAGACAGAGAGTCTCGCTCTCGCCGAAGCCACCGACCTCTCCATCCAGATGGCTAGCGTGGTCATCGAAGCCAAGATGGTGTCCACCGATGACATGGAGATCCCAGAGCTAGAGCCTCCTCGCGCCTCCACCAAGTCCAAGGAAATAAAGGAGGTTAGCCTCGGCCTCGACGACCCCTCCAAGACCGTGAAGATTGGGGCTCACCTCGACCCCAAATAGGAAAGCACACTCATCTCCTTCCTATGTGCCAACACCGACATGTTTGCTTGGAAACCTACAGACATGTCGGAGGTACCGCGGGACACTACTAGAAATGTGTTCATCAATGATGATTCACTCGTGACGATTACTAATTTCGTCACAGAATGAGAGCATTCTATGACGAAATGTGCAGGTTCGTCATTAGTCACAAGTGACGGAGCTTTGGCACGAAGAATAATGACGAAAACGAAATAATCATCATACAATAACAAAACTAAATCGTCATTGATTGTTTGGCTCATGTACCACCTCGAGAACATGGGTCCAAATTTGGACCTGCACCTTCCCCATTTTTTTTTGTAAAAAAATAGCTCACCGAGTGAGCTTCAACCCACAACCCCGCCGCTAGGTTGATAGGTGCCTTTACCTTTGGAGCACTCGGCCTTTTGTGATAAAAAATATGCATATTTTTTTTATTTGTAA